ATTTACTGGAACCACCAACATTTCTAACATCACATATGTTATAATAGCAAGTCAGAACCTGAATGTTGTGCACAAATCACTTCTGAGTGGGACTAACATTAAAAAGCATTAGAAACCTTCACCGGGGAACACAAAATCATTTGCACTGGTGTTTTAGTTACAACAAATTTTTAAAAGCAGGTTGTCTTTTATGAACCACATTTCATCATGTAATGAACCAGTTTAGTGACATTTTCATCAGCACAGATAATATTTAGCTCTTTACATTTCAACAAAGGTGTGCCTGTCACCTCTATTTGATATCCAGAATTTTCCTGCAGGCAGTTGAAGCTCCAGTAAAGCAGTTGTTTGTAAATAGTGAAAGCTGTAATGTTGCACCAGTTCAGGTGAAGTCGCCCTTCACCTCCATCCTGACAGTGGAGGTCAGGTCGGAGGTGAGGACGGTGCAGGTGGAGGGTCAGTGGGGTGAAGGTTTTCCTCAGAGGTCAGGGTGCATCTGCAGAAAAACAGAGACAGGAGGACATGAGCACACAATGGACCCAGGGCAGCCAGGCTGGTGACTCAATGGCTGTAATGGAACAACGGCACTGAGCTGCTCTACCATGTCCGTGTCCTACGTGAGCTAATTTTAGCTTCATTTGTCCTTAAACTCACCTCTGTAGCGTTCAGTGTCCAACCTGAGCTACGTTTATCTTGTTTATCCCTCAGTTCTCCTCCACAACACCTGCCTGGTTACTTTTGGTACTAGAAGTATATTTGGCTCTTGTACTTCAGTACAATGTGGAATGCAGGCCTTTCACTACAGAGTACTTTTACTGTGGTTAACGTTATTGTGAAAGGTTCAATAAAAACAGTAACTTCCTGTGTTTCCACTACTTTTTGATGTGTTTGCCTCTAAGTTCAATAAGGTAATGTTTTCTAGGAACGCTTTACGCAGGTTTACTTCACCCCTGTGATTGAACCCACAAGCTGCAGTGGTTCCATCTGAGTGGCCTTTAACTGTCATAAACGTTTACCATTTTAAAAGCTGGTGTGAGACCTGCAGTCTGTTGCAGAGGACTCACCGTCTCCTCATCACTACTTCTTCTGCTCCCCAAATGACAGGACATTTCCGATGTCGAACCCTCCTCCTCCTTCTTTGTGTTCATCTTTCTTTCCACCCAAGAATGAGAGGGCGTCGTCTACTCCGATTTTTACTCCCCCTCCTCCTGCTCCTCCTGCTCCTCCTCCCTCCTTTTTCTTCCCACCACTCATGGCGTTCTTCACCGTGGTCTCCACCATGTCACCTGCACAACAAACGGCACCTGGTGAAGTCGGGCTGTGATGTACAGTGAAATGTGAATGGTCACTCTTACCCTGGGCTAAACAGGTAAAGCACAGACAGAGCCACCAAAAAGAGTCGCAACACAAGTAAGAAGACATGCCACAACTAAATATAGATGTCAAACAATCAGGCAGATACAACGGGACTGAAAGGATTCGTGCCTGGGAGCCCTGCATCTCATCGTTTGTCCATGGAGAGGCAGCAACACACACCACAGCAACAAAGATCTGAAGCTAATTCCACTGACTGATGCTGAAACGCAGCCTGTCTTCTAAAAAGCCTAAAACAATGAAAAAAACTGCATAGTTACCCATGTTTAAAAGAAAATCTCCAAATGTTTCAACAGATGTTGTTTATTTACAGTAAACAATGTGCAGTGAGTGAAATATTCAGACCAAAACCAAAGCAAACATATTCAGTCATTTTTAACATGTTTCTCTCTCATGTTTTATCTTTGGAAACTTTCTGCTACAGTAGAAACAAACGTCGGCGGCTTCAAAGTGGGACCTCTGCGGACGTCGGCCTCCTCCGGAGCCACAGCTTGTCTGAGCACTTTAGACAAACAAGAGATAATCTCGTTTTTTTCCAAAGGTTACTCACCCACTTTTTGTCCAGCTATTTTTGCAATTCCGTCGCTCCCCAGAGCGTTCCCCACAAGTTTATCCATGGCTGTCGGGATGCAGAGTGTGTTCGAAGTGTGTTGGTGGATGGACCAGGTCTGCTCTTATAGGCGTAGGTGTGCTGGTCCCTGCAGGTAATGCCCTCTGGTCTCGCCCTGCAGAGGAATTAGGTGTGCCAGCAGGGAGTCACGCCGGGTTGACCTGTTGCACAGGTGTCAAAACGAAGGTGACAAACTTCTGTTTTTGTGCTGCATCCTGCCCTGGGCATGACTGTAGGTTATAGTGTGGCACGTAAACAAAGACGGTGCCAAACTCACTGAGCATCCTCCTCCCTCAGAAAGAATCTGGAAAAGGCTGCATGTCTCACCACAACACGCACTTTCATTTATCAGGGGGATTAGTTTAAAAACACAGATGACTCAGGGTTTCCACCAGGAAACTGGGCACAACAGCATTCGAGATGCTCTGCATTAAAAAGGTTTATAGTTGGAGAAACAGTCTGCTGAAAAGTAAAGCTGGATAAGATTCAGTTCAGTTCAATTCACTTTTATTTGTACAACACCAATTCACAACAACAATCATCTCAGGGCACTTTACATAGTCAGGTCCAGACCTCACATAGACCCAACAAATCCCCCTTGACCAAGCACTTGGCGACAGTGGGGAGGAAAACTTCCTTTAACGGAAGAAACCTCCAACAGACCCCGGCTCTTGGTGGGCGGCCTTCTGCCTCAACCGGTTGGGGTGAGTGGATAGAGCAGAGACAAAAGAAGAAAAGCAACAAGACACAACAATCAAACACTGAGCAGGTCGATGTGGCCAGTGACTGCTCATCAGAAACATAGAGCTCCAGGGCCAGGGTAACCTGCAGAAAGGTACAGGGAGAGAGAGAGGACACACTACGGGAGAGAGGAGACACAAAGTTAGTAATGTGTAATGGTGACATATAGAAGCATAGGGAGAGAGGAAAGGAGAGGAGAGGGGAGGAGAGGAGAGGAGAGGAGAGGGGAGAGCAGAGCAGAGGAGAGGAGAGGGGAGGGGAGGAGGATTACATCTCATGTAATCAGTCATCAAAATAGTTCGTTGCCCGGGTCAGCACTTTGCTGTTTGTGTGTTGTGGCGCTCATGTTTTGGTACAAACAGTTGTGATGACGTGCACACACCACTCTCAGTCAAACCGGCCGCTCAGCTTCATCACGACACATTTCTGTCTTCTGACTGTTGATGGTGGCACTGAGGATGATGAGGTGATTGGCTGCAGGTGTCGCCCGGGGCAGGTGTTCAGTGGACAGGTTTGCCAGGCCCCGCCCAGCAGGAGCTCAACATGTTGGCATGTTTACACGATATGTGACAAAATGAGTTTGATGCTCTGAAGTGCAAATAACTATAAAGTGAAGGGATGAACCCCTGGTTTCCATGGTAACCTACATCTGGTTGCAAATGTAACAGGCTGAGTAGCGTGTTGTGTTGACCCTTGTCTTGAGCCAGAAGCTAGGAGTCGATCCTCCTTGTGGTATACCAGACTGGACTGGCAGAGAGCTGTGGGAAGACTGGTTGTGTGTCCTTTAGTCCAGCTGGTCCGGGGGGACCAGGGGTGTGCAGAGGTGCAGGAGTAGCACTGTTTGCTAACGGCAGCCTGTGTTCTACACTGACAGCCAGTGAAACCAGGTCACGTCCCACAGTCTCCTGCTGAGGGACACTGGTTCAGTCCTGCACTGACACGTGCTCATGTGACTCTTCAGTACGCAGCCGGTGGAGGTCGAGCTGCTGCATCTGTACAAACTTCATGGTGGTGTTTTTAATTCAGGGGGGTTCCTGGACATTTTGGGGTCCTAGGCAAGACGTTCTGCCGGCCCCCCTCAGGGCACTGATCATTTCAATACAGTGTTTAATGACTCTTATGATGATTTTCTTAAACTTCACTGTCTCCAGTTTAACTGGATTTGGCTTCTGAGTGACGTCCCATCATCTGTCAGTTAAGATCTGTCCATGAAAACTAGTCCCTGTTCTATTTTATCGTGTCCAGGGTGTGACAGAGAGCACCACCTGATCTGAGTCTGACATGATCCAGGTGCCACTGACGCCTCCACATTACAGAGGATGAATGGGATTCTTTCACTCATCTTGTCCTGATCCACTTCTGTGACCCAGGATTTATTTTGAATGCTCTATAAAGTGATAGTGTTTAGTTCATTGTTAAAATAAAATACTGAACCTCGTTTTTAATGAGACGTTCAGGCTCAGAGGAGCTGGTCTGTCTGCAGTGCATTACTGCACATTTTTGAGGTACTTGTACTCGAGCTACTTTGAACTTCTACTTCACTACATTTCACCATATTGTACTTTTACTGCGCTGACCTGGCAGCTGTGTGTGCAGCTCCAGTTTAGACTATACATTAACAATGACAAGGCCATGAAACACTGAAGTCACTGTCGACTTGTTGTTAGCAGTTCCTCCACAGACGCTTTTCCTCTAAACGTCTCCATCTCAGTAACAGTTTGACGCCCAGATGAGAGCTCAGATTATCCAGTAGTTCATGAAAAGCAACAAGCTTCAGGTTTGTGCTGCACAACGGATCATCTCACGCCCTCAGGTTTATCTTGTGAGCCACTAAACGACCAAACGGTTTGTAAAGTAGTGGAAACCAGCTGCACCTGGATCAGCTGCTCATACTCAAAGAAGTACTCTGATTGTTTTTTACTATAGTAACAGTAGAAATACCACAGTGTTAAATTCTCAGGTAAAAATACAAGTCCTGCATTTGAAATGTGACCCATTTCAGTTGCCAGTGTGTAGAGATCTGCAAATAAATGCAAAGCGAGACAAAGATCTCAAACTGATGTTTATCAGCACGTTTACAGTACAACCAGTAAAATCAGACTTCATAATATAGAATACATTTCATAGTGGTGGATTGTCGCCACCATAGTCCATCAACAGATCACTGTACACGTGCAAATGTAGTTTATGTGTGTATGAGAAAACATGTTATCAGTGGGACTGACAATAACCATGTTCTGTAATCTGACAGTGAAGAAGAAACAAAGAGCGCAGGTGGATTTAAACCCGTCTTTATTTCACTTGTATCGGTTTATAAAAGGGGAAAATCGGCTCCGAAGCTCAGTTACTATCAGCAGCACAAACTGTTTTCCAGTGTCTTAGTGTCAGTAAAGCAACATGCATTCAAACAGCTGCGGGTACCTGTGTGTCAGGGGGCGGGGTCAACCTTGTGATTGACAGGAAGCAATGGGGGTTGTTGTCCCACAGCGACCAATCAGCTGAGAGCATCTGACCTCGTTAAACTGATCAGACATCAGTGTGTGTACGATCAGGGAGAGTAAGATGTGGAGGCAGGGTAACCATGGCAACAGATGAGGGTTTTTATTGGTTAGTGAAGTTAAGTCATGCCCGGGTCAGACTACACAATTTAGGCCCGATAACAGCCCGACATGACAGACAGGATATCGAACACGACAGTTAATCATTCTATCTCGTACAATGTGTCATAGTAAACGACACAAGATGCTGCGTCTGGGACTCCTCACGATGTCCCGACTCACAGTCCAACATGTCAGAACTTTGTTCAACCTCTATGATGAGGTGGGCTGACGGTGACCAGCGAGAGAACAGATGGCGCTCCTGTTCACAATATTCTGGCTTTTTGAACTAAACCATATTCATTAAACATCTAACGTTAGCATGTTGACTATCAGGCTAGCTAGCTAGTGTTCGGTTTCACTACCAGCTTAAAACATTTATTACCTTAAGTTCCACATGAAGGAGAGACAACACAGGCCGCTGCGTGACCCACAGACCGGTCCACGGTCTTTTTATCCTTTTCTGAACACAAGCAGCCAGAACCACACACTCATCTCCTGGTCCCTGCAACTCCAAGGCGTTAACATGAGGCTGTGATCTGTCAGGTACCAGCAGGTACCAGTCTGTCATATCCCTCTATATCATTGTGTAATCTGACATCGAGACCATTATATCAGACAGACAAATGGTGTGGTCTGAACCGGGCATTACACACAGTAGATAAAGCTGTTTTTAGGGCTGGGGAGGGTCAGAGGTCAGAAGGTTGAGCGTGGCCAATGTTTGCTGTCTTCATCACTGGACATGAAGGAGCAGGATGTGACTGCAGGTCGCCGAGAGTCTGAGAGAGAAACAGAAAGTGAAGACAAGGAAATAAATAAATCACTGAAGCACAAGAGACTCTCCTGCTGTGTGTCACAGCTGCACAGCTGAGTCAGTGGCGGGTCTGTTGGAGGGACAGCCAGCCAGGACCAGACTGTGACTGCATTTCAAACGCCCTGTCTTTGACACACGGACTGGGCCCCTGGACACAGACACGTAACAGCCTCCTCCTCACAGTGAAGCCCCAGGATGAGAGAAACACACAGCAGTGACCAGTTTGTGTCTTTATGATATTCTCATGAGACTATGTAGGTGTTGTGCATTTATTTCTTGTTGTTTTGTTCAAGCTGAGGCCCTGGGTCAGGGGCCCTCTGGACCAGTGCCCAGTAGACCCGTTAAGTCATCCACCCATCATTTAACACAGTCACTGGGAGCAGCCTTACATGTTGTGGTCATGTTGATACAGCAGTCAGGGTCTACCTCAGTTGGTTTTACATTTTCAAAACTCGGGTTGTCCGTCCGTCCCGTTCTGGTCCCCAACAAATGCCCTGTTTCCTCTTGTCTGGTGAAAATTATGGAATGAAAACAGTTTGCTCACCTACTGTGCAGCCTCTTCGGTCTGTTCTCCACCTTCTTCTGTTTTTTCAGGGATGTTAGCCTGCAGGAGAGATGGAGAGAGGTCACATGACTGACACCAAACTCCACCTCCGTATAGACCTTAGACAGAGCTACACTTGTCCCAAAACAAGCTGAGCTGAGTTGCGCAGCTGCAACATCTGACAGTTGGCATTAAAATACTACATAGTGTGTGATATGTAAGGATGGACAACACTGGACAGCACTGACTGTTCACGTGCGTCTCTTCTCTGTGAACCAGTTCACATCTGCTTCATACAGGTTACAGCAGTTGCTTTGGGAGAAGTGTAATGTTATTTCTGTGTTGCAGCAGGACAGCAATTTGTGCAGGTATAAAGCTTCAGGAGAGATTTGGAAAGTGAAGCTGAAGATGGGTGAAGCTGAAACAAACGGATGCATTAGTCAGAGCTGGGCGTGAAGTTTCACTGTTACTGCCAGTGATGGGCGTTTATTAATTTGACCTGAAGGCTGCTGGGTGCATATACCTTTATACCTGGGCGGTGCTGGACAGTACCACTACTTTTAGTACTTTAGGTAACATTTTTAACAAACATCAGGGTCTGATGTTTTGTAGTGAAGAAACCTGTGGCCCGGTGCAGCAGTGGGCTAACGTCTGTCAAACCTGTGGCCCGGTGCAGCAGTGGGCTTCACTGAGGTGTCTAACGTCTGTCACTGCTGCTCAGGAGTCCCCGAATTTCCCCGTGATCTTAATAAAAATCACATTCTTATTTCTCATGTTTTGCATTAATCTGAGTCTGCAACGTAATTACAGTTCTTCTTCTTCCTTCAGCTGTTGAGTTAAGGGTCACCACAGCAAGTCATCAGTTAGCACCTAACTGACTGTGACACATGCCACATGCCATGTCAGCGGTCTACTTCTTGCCTTACTACTACTTCTATTAGTACCCCTACTGGTAATAGGAGGTCTACTACTTCTACCAGGAGTACTGCACTGCTACTGATTCTGAAATACAACCACTCTTGTGGCGCAAGAGTAGAGCAGGTTGACCTCTGATTGTAGGGTCGGTGGTTTGATTCCCAGTCCACATACAGTATTTTGCTCAAGCCGCGGAACCCCCGGCAGCTCCGTCGGTGAGCGGGTGAATCTGCAAATCTCTTTGTGCAGGGATGGTAGAAAAGCTCCATGTACGTGTGCAGGGATGGTAGAAAAGCTCCATGTACGTGCAGTCCGTTGACCATATTAACGCTTTAGTGCTGAAGGAACGAGCTGACATTTTGTGATTGATGATGATGTGAACGGTTTAGATCTGATGGACTTTAATGAGCAGCTTCAGGGTGTGCTTTGGATTTGCTCTTCGTCTAATGGAGCAGCACAAACATCAGCCTGATGAAGCCGTGGAAATCAGGCTGCAAGCATCAAGCCATGCAACAGTCACTCAGCCCTTTGACCAATCAGGCACCTCCTCGGACACTGGTCCCGCCTCCTCCTGTTCCCAGCCAATCACCAGAGATTTGTGAACAAAGAGACGAAAGGTGATCAACACATCTTAGATTATAATGTTTATTATTGTAAAGATCACGCACAAGTCATTTTAACTGAGGCTGAGGAAATATAGTCTAAGAATATAGATAGATAGATAGATAGATAGATAGATAGATAGATAGATAGATAGATAGATAGATAGATAGATAGAAATACTTTATTAATCCCAATCTGGGAAATTGCATCTGCCACATTTAACGTGCTGTCAGAATGTTTCGTTATATGCAAGGTAGAAAATTAATGCAAAGAAATTCATTTAGATCATTGCTTTGTCGATTTTGTTGTCCTAATCTCTAACAGAATAATGATTTGAACCTCAGGTATTTTACCCTAAAAACACAAAGAAACATGCTGCAGCTTTTGAAAACTCCATGTTGACAAACAAATAAAAAAAAACACTATGTAAATATATAACAACGCATTAACGGATCATATTTATTCGTAAACATAAAACGTGTTTACGTCGCTGCTCTGGGGTCACGTGACGTGGCATCACTAACCTTTTTGACGAATCCGCTCGCCAGCGCCGCGTTCTCCGCCCCCTCCACTGTTGCCTGGGCGACCTCGTTGGCCCCAGCAACCGCGGTTTCGGCGACGACGTTGGCCTGCTCGGTTGTCTTCTGGGCAACTGGGCAACAGGAAACAGGAAGTGTTGTGTTGTTAGGCGTTTATTAGAGGCAGACGAGAAACGTGTGTCTGAACAGTTAATGAGAAATGTGAAAAGCAGCGCTGACACTTTGGAAGTGGTTGTGCCATACATCACCGTGACCACACGTCTTTACTGGTCCCAGTGAGGGTCTGGCTCCTTTAGGCTTCTGCTCCACCACAGTTCGGAGGAAGATAGTGTACTTTTTACTGCACTACTTGTGTTTCCCAGCTGTAGCTGCTTTGGAGATTCTTACTGTAAACTGGGCCATAGAAAGTGCGCCACCTATTGATGAAGCTGATGAATTGATGAACATGATCTGTACCTGCTGCAGCACCAGCCATGCTTCATTATGGTATAATGAAAAATGACTTGGTTCTTTAAGCAGTGGCAGCAAAGGAACACGCACCCACAGAGTATTAAATACCTTTGTTTCTACAGTACACAGATCCTTTACTGAAGTAAAAGTATCAGTACCACAGTGTAAAATACTCTGTTACAACAAAAGTCCTGCGTTCAAAAGTATTAGCTTCAAATTATACTTGAAGTATCAACAGTAAGAGTAGTCTTTCTGCAGAAATGCACATTTCACATTAATGTACAGTATATGACACTATTGGATTTTAATTACTGATGCATTCTTGTTATTATGGCATGCAGGACTTTTGTAACAGAGTATTTCTACACAGTGGTAATGATACTTTTACTTTAGTAGTAGGTGTCAGTGTTTCTGGCAGCTTGTTACGACACTGATCCCAAACCAATGAACCAGCCCACACAAGTTTACACACATCTGTCAGCGTCACATGACTGTTTTGCTGGCACCAGTGTGACCCCCGTGACGAATGAACCAGCTCATTAAGACCAGTATTAAAACCAGACTAGAACCAGACTGTCTGCCACGTTTGACCAGTTCATAACTAGCACCTGTCCAGATGTTAGTGATGTTTGATGACAAACCAAGGGATAAATACAATGACAGGACGGTGGGCTTTTTAAACCCTGAGTTTAGTCTGCCCGTACACCCCTACATCACCGACACCCCTGTGGGGAAGTGAAGTGTGGTTTTTATTGTTGTCCCAGTGTGTTGTGTTTCACAGTTTGTTTACCTGTGTTAACACCAGTCACTACGCCCTCCATCGTCTTGTTTCCTGGAGAGGAGAGAAACAAGGTGTTAGCTTGAAAGTTGCATTCATCCTGATATGATGTTCAGTTTAGTCACATCTCCACAAATGACATATTAATCAGACATGAGAGCCTTTAACTGACACCGTCTTGCCTTAGAAAGGGACTTTTACTCCTGTTTGATCCCACTGCAGTACGAGTCTGCTGTTGACCCAGACTAAATGCTCTGCTCCACAGCTCATACAGTTTAATTACAGCTGGTCACTCCTTTTTTGCTGCGCCTTCCATCCCAGTTCACCTGCTTGCAGTGGAACCCGACTCTTCTTGCATACATTTCAAATTAAAAGTCTTGCAGCGGCTTAAAAGGCACATGTATAATTTCTGATCAACAGTTTATGGTTTGATGTTGAAGCGATGTGTCAGAGCAGCTTCACCCTGTGTCTCCGCCACTGCTGCCCTGTAGAGCCTTGTGGCTGTGACACTGGCGTCTGGGGCCAGAACAGACACTGGGATTTATGTTGGAGTCAATCCAAACTGAACAGACATTAGAATTCAAATGAATAGTCCCCTGTTGTAAATTGTCCCTCACTGTCATTGGATGGTCGGGACACCTGCAGCCGGTCGTGGTCCTGCAGGCTGTGCACAAGGAGCTGCAGCAGCTCTGCTGCCTGTGAGCTTGTCTACTCAGGACTCTTTAGCCTCGTCTGTGTCAGGCTAAGTGCAAAGCACGGTGGGTGTTCATTGATCCTGATGCCTGCCTCTCAGCTGTAGGCAAGAGATGCTGGTCCTTTCTCTGACTCGGGACGTGCACGTCTTTCCTGTTGAGCCGAGTCTGCAGGACGGCTGGATTTTGTAGTTCAGGGCTGGTTGTTGGATTGTGTTAGCCGGGCTCTCCCTGCACCTGTTTTGTGGTTTCACATTCTATATGCAATAGAAGCTGAACAAAGTGACTCTGGATCCTTCTTCAGCTAGTTGTTTGTTAGTGCTGTCCAGCTGTTGATGGGGCTGGGATTGCAGCACAGTGACTCTGTGCCCTTCCTCGTGTCAATAATTATTGATATTTAGTCAGATAAATGAATAATAAAAACAAAGTCATCCTTTTCTACCAACCCTCTAATTGCCCTCTCTATAAAAATGTCAGTATCCCCACAGTGCAGTGGCAGCACTGTATGTGAACATGGTTTTGCCACTTGAATTTGTGCTATATTGATTTTGATATTTCCCTGATATGGGTTAGGTGCTAGGAAAGTCTTCAACTCTCCCTGTAATCGTCCGTTGACTGTGCGGTATGGGATGGGTTAGGGTTATGCTGTGAAAGGTCCCAGATGAGATGTAAAAATGTTAGATGGCTGTTTTTCTGAAGAGGCCACTTTTGCCTCGTGTGAGTGAGTCTGGATCTGACCTGGTTTCCTCTGCGAAGGCTAACAGGGCTCAGCCGCTTTCTGGCTGATTTATTCATGTCACTCAGTTTATAGCCAGACATCCACAGGAAGCCCAGCCTGTTCTTTTCAGAGTGTTTCATTCACTTTTCTGGAGATTCACACACTGGACAGCTCGGCCACAACAGCTTCCGTTCGGTGTTTAGCAGAAACACCTAGTGGACTTCAGAGGAACTGCAGCTGGCGTGTTCTTGTTTGGTGAACATTCAGAGTGAGAGTTCACCCAGTGGGCGTCGAGCTGCTCGGGCATGTGATGGATCAGACTGAACAGAGTCTTTGTCTGGGTGAACACAGTCTCGGATTTATTGTCTGTTGCTCCACAACAAGCTTGTTTCCCCAGAGAAACACACGGGTTCCACACAGGCAGCAGACGTGAGCAGAGTCAGGGAGGGTTCAGCTGGGGTTTGAGCCCCGGCTGCTCATTAAACCAGTTCCAGGAAGACACTTATAACAGATATGATGAATATTTGATGATATCTTCTCTAATGTTTTTTCTTCCAGTCAAGCAAGAACGTACCAGAGTAATTATAGTAATAATTCTGTCTTTATCGTCATGTCCACCCGTGCTTTTCACTCGTGGGTTCATCAACTCATCCACTGATTCAGACCAGAGCAGTGCAGCTGTAGTAGGGGTCAGAAATTAGATTCAACAATGGGCAAGTGTTTTTCAGCACTGCTTAAAGCTACAGTGTGTAACCTTTCTTTTTCTAACATTTTAGGTGTAGAAATCTGCCCCAAAGCATGTCTTAATGTGGAGAGGTGCCATCAAAGCTTCCTGTGACCCAGACTCACTGACCAGCGCTGGCAGCAGTGCAGAGATATCAGCTTCTAAAAGGTTTTGGGTGGGACCGACCTCTTTGACCAATCAGAGATTTTCAAATATTTGCTCGATCACTAAGTTTGGTTGCAATCTCATTTATTGTAATTTCATATTGACGAGCTGGGCGGAGTGTGGCAGGTTGTATTTATAAACCTTTGAGACAGACTGTGAAACTTGGTGCACAAAACAGGGCTCGGGTCAAAATCCTAAGTCAGGGGGCAAGATGAAGAAATGCTGTCTCCACTGAGGAGCCTGTTGTCGTATGACTAAACAGCATTTTTGTTCAAGTGCCAGGTAGAGGAGAGTTGTGATGTGAACCCAGACTGGTGACCGGTTGGCCATGTTGTCTGACCTACAGTACAGCAGGTTTGCTTTGGCCCAAATCAACTGCTAACAACACCGGCAGACATCTTTCGTCGTGCAGCTATAAAGTGATGTGGGTGGGGTGTTATCATTTGGCAAAACTAAAAGTTGTTCCACAGTTCAGAAAGAAAATTTTACGTGAAGCCACTTTTAGTTTTATGCCCTGAGCTGTTGAACAGTGTGAAGCTTAAACCTCTTTAGTCTGGCAGCAGATTAGCTTGGCTAAAGACTAGCTAGCTAGGTCAAAGGACGGCCCTAATTTATTTATTTAGTTCTGATATTTTACTTCTCTCCTTTGTTTATCCATTATTTTATTTTTCTTATTTTACAGGATTTTAAAAATGATTTAAATTATGTTCATTATTCTCATTTTTTAGTCTCCTTGTCTGTAATGCTCATCTGAAAAGCACCTGAATGAAAAGTGCTTCATAAATCAAGTTTTGATTGATTGATTGATTGATTGGTTGGAATGCGTCCCTGAAGTGAGAGAGACAGGTGATCTACAAACAGGAAGTGAAGTGGCAGTGAAGCTACAGGCTAATCAGCACCGGATCTTTTCCTCCCTCCATCCGTCTCAGACCAGCCTGCACTTCTTCAGACTTAATGCACAATGTCATGATAATTTTCTGATGTGAATATTCTAGAAGCCTGTCCTCCTGTATCACTCCCTCCATCACCCTCTCTCCCTTCATCCATGTTGACCTTCACTTGTCTCTCGTTCACTTTCCACCAGAAAATTCACATTTCTGAAAAATGTAAGTGAAATTTAACATCGGATTTATTTGCTTCTACTCCAGTCTTCTCCTCTGTTCCTCTGTCCTCTCCTTCCTTCCATCCCTCATTTCTCCATCCATCCTTTCAGTACAAACATCCCCCCACAGCTTCACATTTAATGCAGTGTCATGATGAATTGCACTTTTCCTCCACCTGCCTCTTTTCCTTCTCCCTCCTCTTATTTCTGATTCATTATTTAAGCTGCAGCTTCTTGTGCTCCACCTACCACGCCCTCAATCCCTCCCTTCATCCATCTGAGTTGTGGCTGAACATTATCCTCTGCTCCACCCATACCTCCTTCAGTTTCCATCAAGAAACAACTCAGACATTTGATCATTTCATGTCACATTTGACTTTTTCTTTGCTAGTTTCTCCTTTATCCCTCTGTCTCACTGTCCCTCCCGTCATCCCTCCATCACCCGTTCTTCCTCTCAGAATGTCAGAGGGACGCACACTTTTCTTTTTTCTTTTCTCTGATTCTTGTTCCATGGTTTTTACTTTCTCCTCAATCTGTCTCACTTTCCAACACAGAAACTTTACATCCATGCATCCATCTATCCTCACCAACATAGATGACCCCCTCCTTGGTCTTGGCAGCGGCTTCCTCCACGCCAGCCTTCGTTTTCTCGGCAGCAGCCACCACGCCACCCTTTGCCATAGAGAATCCCTTCTTCAGAGCGTCCATGATGCTTCTCTTCCTCTTCTCTTCTTGTTCAGTCTTCTCTTTGCTTTTCTGTCTCTCTTTATGCTTCTTCTTCTTTTTCTTCTGCTCTGTCTGTCTCGGCTGCCTCGTCTCTTCTCATCTGCCAGTGATCTGTTCTTCCTGCTAATGGATTAAAGAGGGAGAGCGGGTGGGGGGAGAGAGAGAGAGAGCTCTTACGAGAAGGGGAGGGAGAGCAACTCAGGAGAGAAGCTACGCGGGACACCAATTGTGCACCAGAGCAGGCAACAGAGAGAACAGAGGTGGAGACAGGAGAAGAAGAACAGAGGGAGGAGGGGAATAAATAAATGGACCAAATGGACCCGGAGAGAGGTAGAGATGGAGTTGTGGGGTAGAGGGAGAAAAATGGATTGTTTCTCGTTTCTTCTCTGCTCTTGTCAGACATGAAAAACAGCTCATATACTGTTAACACTCAAAGTCTGGACAAACACAGATCAGGCCACACTGTGGTTTCGGGTCCACAGAGCAGCTCCTAAGCTGTTTCAGACCAGGGCCCCCTTCAAAGGAGAGTTCACTGTCACAGCCACCAGCAGTGAGTTGTCATTATCTGTGGCGTAACTGCATAGGAGACAGTTTTCTATTCACAGGTTTTGAAGTTTGTTGTGTTTTTCGTTCCTTTAGCCTGAAGGTAGTAAATCCTTATCATTCCTAATGTGGTGAGGCGTTATTAAAACTGAAAATAACTGGACAATGATAGTCTTAACACACCCTGGAGGGTTGGCAGAGAGACTTGAGGCTTGAATGAGGTCCTCTTACTTCAGGAACAGAACCTGGACGTTCTTGTTCCAATCGGTTGGGTCAGTGACTACGTGGCTGCCATAGGGTGGGTGAAGGATATCAGAGGGAACAATTGGGGTGAAGAGGTGGGTGGGTTGGTGGGGGGGCGGTGTTGTTACCCTCCTCCCCCTCTGTCCTGGCAGGAACCTAAATGTCAGTCAGCAAAATGCCCTTGGCTGCATTCCCCCCTCTCTGATTGGCTGACAGCTGGCGCCGGGCTATTTTTAGACCTGTTTTATATCATGTTTTCCAGGCTGGGTGTGATCAGATCAGCTGCGGCCTGCAGTGGCGATCAATACTGACCGTCATCATCATCACTTTCTCAGACACTTTCATTGATTTCCATCGGGAATTCTCTCACAGCTGCACAAACACACACTACTGATGATTTGTGTCATTGATCCTCATGAGGAAATCTAATCACCAACACACTGTGACTAAAAGGCAGCATTGTTTTTGTCCATGGTGGAAGATGCACTCAGATCCTGGAAAAGTACCAGTGCAACGAGTAGGATCACGGTCCTGCAGCCTGAGCTCAGCAGCCCTCAGTGACAGTGATGTGTCACTGAGCCTTGTTGTGCTGGTCAGCGATGTGCTTCACGCCGCTGTTTGCCTCTAATGACAGGCTGCAGCTCGGTGTCAGCGTCATGCAGCCACCGTGTCTGTTGGCAGACAGTGGAGTCTTTAAGTCAGATGAAACACAGGTTGATGCTGTGCAACATAACATCAACACAGTTACACACGCCGACAAAGACGGCAGGTGTTTTTACCACAGCACGCTTTCTCCCTTTGTTTCTTCTGATAAAACACTACTGACATTAGTATCTCAGCAACAGACAAGTAGTGGCTTCTATGTGAAGACTGAATCAGGTGAGTCACTTCAAACCTGCACCTTCTTGTTGCAGCGTTAGCATCAGCGCTGTAGCTAAACAGTGAGCTGATGTCTCCAGGCTGGTCCTCCACATGCAGAAGCAGCGCTTCGTGGTCCTATAACTCCACCTACTAGTCAGATTCACAGGAATGGGACAGTCATGAAAGCTCTGTGAGCCTGACCTTTGACCTTTGATCATCAAACTCTAATCAGTTCATCCTTGAGTCCAGGTGGACACGGGAATGGGGCAGGCAGATGTACAGACACCCTGAAAACATAAAGACAACATATTATATGTACATACACACCACAGATACAAACAGTAGTGTGAAGTAGCTGTGAGGCCGACATGTTCCGAGCTCCTTCGTTATGCCAAGTGAATTTTAAAGCACAGAGGAACATGCACCCATCTTCATAGTATCAATACTCCTTTCTCTTCTGTGATAATTAAGAGCATCTTTCATCAATGAAAAGTTGTTCCATAAATACACAGGCACTATTTCTTTTACAGTTCCATAAGGCAGAGACAACTTAAAGTCAGCCCTGATTTCAGCTGTTAGCCAGTTTAGTATAAGTGACTCAGGGGAGACAGTGGTAGTAAACACCAACAGGCCCAGTGCCCATCAAACCGAAAGTCCAGTCCACTGAAATGGTCCAGAGTTACCCGGACAGATAAAGCTGGAAGGCAGTACGTAAACAGCTGTGTCCGACATTGGACTTGTAGTGTTTTGTCCCCCAAGGTCTGTACACGTGGCTCCAGGTCACCTGGGCGAGGAATCCACCACCTGCCTGCTAATGGCTAGTTGTACTGGTCTAATGAGCTGGTGTGTTTGTGTGTGGGGGTCGGTGAGTTTCCCACATGTCTGTGTGCACATTCATTTTGTTTTCATGACAGCAGTGACATGACTGTTTCTGCAAACCCAGCAGGTCGACCTCCGCCTCTGCTTTTAGCTGAGTAGGCGTGTGTGTCTGTGTCACACTGATCACAGAGTTCATACAAAGCAGTGGCAGCTTGGTGTGTGAGGTGTGTTATGATCATGGCATTTAAATCACAACATAGCACTGAACTGGCACTTCTAAAAGTGAGTAATGATCCCTTCTTTTTGCTGCTGGTGCTGGAGACTGGGCCGTCTTACCAGGCTCAGTGTGTGGGGATTCAGGGTACTGCTCTTAATAAATGGCTTCAGTCATATCTAATAGGGATTTAGCAGTAAACGCTGGTGAGTGTTCATCATCGTCTGTCCTGCTCTCGTGTGGGGACCTTTGTAAAAATGTTTTAAAAGGTTTAAAATTTTCCAAACACATGACACAGCGTTCAGAGACATCGTCGCCAACTGCATCACTGAAGAACAACACGGGAACATTAAAATGTCATTTACTTCACAATGAAACTTTCTGATCATTCAAAACCACCTAAGAGAGGATATGATGAGCACTGAGGTTTCTCATCCATATGATGCACTGCTACTTGTACCAGGTGTGTCACACAGTTTTAGTGTTTCATGCTGGGTCCAATCACAAGACTGGACACTGATGAATATGCATTTGGTACCAGGTTGAAGCTTTACACAGCGATGCCTCATTTTAAGCTAATTTATCATGTTTGCTGTTGCCAGTTGGTAAGAGGTGCCCATCTGTGTAGCACCAAATCACAACAGTCAAATCAAATCCCAATTATTTCTATAGCACCTTAAATACAACTTGTTGACCAAAGTACTTTACACAATCTATATAGAAAACAAGGAAAAACAAACAAATGGAGAGACAACTAAGCAGAGCTAGTGGAAGATATCAGGGCTGCACCATGACCCCAAACCCACAGTACATGGATAAGCTTTTAAGAGATTTAAAACAACAAACACAGCGAGTTTAAGATGCACTTGGACCCAAAAGTAAATAGATAGGTCTTCAACGGCAATTTAAAAGTCCATACATCAGTCCGTAACTGATCTAAAGCTGGATCCCACCAGTGCCTGGACCTGGACCTGGAGCAGTGCCTGAGAGGATGACCAGTGAGATAAGGCAGGGCTAGACCATTTAGTGCCTTAAAAACAAATACCAATACTTTACAATCAACAAAATGGATTGTGCTACGGGACATGTAGTAGGCATAATTTTAAGGCCTTTAGCTATATGAGGGATTAGGATGTCTAGAATAAGACTCTGACAGTAAGTTACTGCAGAATACAGGCACAGTGCATGAATCAATTTGTCTTATCGTTCATGCTTCGAGGGTTTGTATGGTGTATTGTGGTGTTAGGTGATTAACCGTCCCCTAGATGGTGCTGTGTTAACACCAGCTCTAATGGACAGGGAGGAACAAATGAGTCACATTATTACAACGGCAGCAACGTGAAACCGTTCCAACAGCAGCTGGTATTATTTTTAAGAAGTCATTCATCAAGTAGGTCCAGTAAAATTCTTCCTCTGAGCTTTGGTGCCCATGTTGATGAGTTAAGGAACAACAGCGCCATGCACTGCCACTCCTGATGTTAATGTTAATTCAAGCCATCATATCTTCACTTTTTGAGTTGCATTTTATTTAATAAACCTTCTTAGTTAATGTATTTTATTTATTTTTCATGTTTATTATATTAAATAAAAATTTAAACGTTTGTCTGGGCGGGGCTCGCCTTTCTCCACCAATCCGTGAACGGCATTTGCCACGTGGCGCCGGAATTCCCCCCCACCCAGCTCACTGGACAAACCCGTCATGACGTCACCCATTGGTTTTCTGAAGAACTGTTTTGAAGCCTATGGGGACTGACTCCCTTTTGGAGCCCGCCTCACGTGGCCGTTCGAGGAACTGCAGGTTTTGGCGTTGGCTTCGTTTCTCAGCCTCGTCGCTTGCTCCAGCTGCGGGGCTTTCCACTCTGATTGACAGGCTGCGGTCACCATGACAACCGAGCTGAGCTGCGTCAGGCTGTTGAGGAGAGGAAAGACCTGACTTCCGGTGAAGTGATTTTACCTTCAAAATAAAGGAATTCAATTACTCAGTACGTAGCATACAACATTGAAATGATGTTTAAATAAAAATATGATGTTGTTCTGGAACAACAAAATAAACGACTACAACAAGGTATAAAATAAAGACTTAAAGCAGTATAACGGGCGCATAAATAAATGTTGTTCCCGCTGACACGTATTTGTTTTGAAGACCCTAAGGAGGAAGACAGTGCAGCTATATTTCAGGGGTTTCATCATTTCCTCCATTTTACATTTTTGTGTTTTGGGGGAAAACAGACGGACAGTGTTGCTGCACACAGGTAAAATTTACCGTAAAGCTGTTTATTTCTTCTGGTTTTATCACAGAGAGAAGAGAAACTGTAATTGAATCTGTCAGACAGACTTAATTAGTAATTCGATCGATATTGATCAATAACTCTTCGTTTTAACTTTTCACATCTGCTCAAAGTTTACCAATTAAAAATCTGTGTATTCGGCGTGAAAGGTTTGACCAAAAACCACAACTAAATATTGCTTCTGGTTTTACAGTCAGGATTTAGATGTTGATCAACCTGAGGTTTAAGTTTGTCTAAAACCAAACGGAGGTGAATGGCCCGACGGGAGGACGAGCTGGTGCAGCATAAACGTGTGTGTGCGCGCGTACAGATGATCATTGGGACCGTTTCCAGGTTATCAGTGTTTATTCTGAGTGTGATCATAGTATCACAACAGAATAACCTACACCGGATGTGTGAGAGTGAGGCTAAGGTAACGGTTCAATAGGAAACCGAACCGAAGTTAAATGTGAATAAAACTTCAGATTGTGTAACAGGAAAACGACTGAAGCTTTGTGCAATACACAGCTCACACACTACTTCTGTGTAGTAGAACACATTATTTAAACGTGATTATTTACTGGATACAGTTCTCTTTTTGTGGCATTATTATTTTTGCACAGTTCCTTGAAGCATGTCTTGACTAATCCAGGTGTATCCTGTTAACTCTCACTCAGCTAACCTGCTTCCTTAAACAGTTATGGGTTTGAGTTATTAATCCGAGGTGGATATTTTGGATTATCTCGGTGCCTGCAGTCCACATGTCGAAGTGTCCTTGGGCAAGACACCCCCAAGTGACCCCCAAGTTGCCCCCGATGGTTAGAGCCATCGGTGTGAGTTGTCGCCGCAGATGGTTATGTTCCTGATTAGTCTATGAACTGTCAAACCATAGTGAAAGGTTCCCAGAATGATGAATGTGGATTGTTTATTCATCAAACAGCCCAGGGCGCAGAGACATCCATCTTACGGTCAGTGACGAGAGGTGACAGATTTCTCGACCTCTCATCAGTTTCCACAGCCTTTGACCCATGTCAGCAGCCGATCTGCTTTTCTTTGTCTTGTATCTGTTAAACTGAAGGTCTTTGGGTTTGGCCCTGCCGACCTACACTGTGCATGGCAGTGTCAATATTTCCCAAGACACCTGGAGGTTAACCAGTACTGTAGATCTGCAGTGATCATTATTTGGTTGGTTATCTGCCTGTGATTTTACTGCCTATTTAGATTTGTGTTATTGCTCATGTACTTTATATTTCATTTGTATTGTGTGGCATTCAGTGTGGACGGCAAAGTAAGAATTTCATTGTACGGGGAAACGTGTCCTTACTGTGCATATGACAAACACTTTGACCTTTGACCTTGATCTTGAATTCACTGGCAACAAGCCGAATAACCCATCACAGACTCGGTGACAGCAGCGTCCCTAGTCTAAATCTTGTTCAAGGTTTTAAAATTAGACTTTGTTCACTTAGGCATTTTCATTATTTTCTCTCATTTTATTCCCTAAACCATCAGTTGACTGGTAAAGAAAAGAATCAGTGGCTGTATTGATGATGAAAACAATGGTTGGATGCAGCCATATGGATCTCCCCACATCCCTTTGCAGCCCTGGGTCCAACTTGCTGTGACTTGGCTGTGCCTTTGCAGGTTTAGGCCTCAGGGGTGCAGATCAACTTTAAGCTTCCAGCAGACTTTGTGGCACTTTCCTCAGGAGATGAGGTTCCTTGTGTTCAGAGTTGATATTTTGTCCTGCAGATGGCACTAAAGGAAACATCCCACTGGCAGAACTCAACAGGGCTGTGCACTGAAAATGTTGTTCAAAGAAGCCAGAGGTTTCCCACTGCTCCCAGTCTCTGTGCTAAGCTAGGCTCTGGAGAAGACAGAGAAATGTTGGACTGCTCCTTTAACAGAAGCAGCAGCTTATTGTTTGCTCAGTTGGGCTGGAATTCGAGGATTGTCCCCAAATAGTCACAGAGGAGGAGGAGCGGAAATTCCCAGTGGTGTATTTATGCCTCCATCACGCACAAACACACTGAGCTGTGCAGTTATTAACTCTTGGTTCGGTCTCTGCAGGAAAATCCCTGAAGGAGGACACCAACATCCCCCTCCTCCTCCTCCTGCCGCAGGAGCTCAGCCTTCACCGCCATCGTCATCTTCACACCATCCTTCTGCTGAATCATGGCCGGAGCTCTGAGGTATGTTTGATTTGTGGATTAAAGGAGGAGAGAGTAGAAAGATGTGAACCGGGCAGAGGGCTCAAACTGACAGTGACACATCTGTGGTACATTGGGCGCTTCACAGTATTTCAGGGAGGTGAAGATACCTGGGAGCTGGGAACAAAAAGCAGGTGTGGTCTGGGTCCATCTCCCCAGTTTGTTCCTCTTACTGCCAGTGAAGGCAAATCTTGATGCTGCAGTGCACAGTTATGCTTTATTCAGCTGTGTTCAGCATGACACTGGGTGCAGCCAGAGTCCAAAACCTGAAGTGCTGGGAGCAGGAGACCGGGGGCTGAAACAGCGGTGCATTAGGGAGTGTCCACGTAGTTCTGGCCATGTGGTGTTCTAAGGAAATGCCTGAGAGTAAAGTTGCTCCAGTAAAGAAGTGAGGCGTGGTGATGAGGAACCGGCTGACTGGCACCAGGTGTGTCAGACTGCTGGGAAATCCACCAGCTATGCAGCAGGATGTACAGTACTTCACATTCAGCTCCACCTTTACCAGCTGCAACAGTAATGTGATGAACACAGTAATGCATTCATGTGAAAGGCCCATTCTGTATAATGAGCACTTTTCCCTTGGGTACTTCAAGTATATGGTTAAGCTGATACTTCTGTACTTTTACCCAAGTAAAGGATGTGAGTACTACTTGCTGCGATTCTGAGGAGTTGTTGATGGATGAATTTCCTTCATACTTTGAAACTATGATGGTATTGGTTGATCACATGATTGGGTGTGTTGGGACCCCTCTCAGCATGCAGCGGCGCAGTATTTTCATGGTCTCGGTTTAGCGTGTTCCTGCATTGTTGCAGGCTGTTGGTTTGCTCCCACTGAGCTTCGGTGTGTCCAGTCGTCCAAGTTAATGACTGGACGGGAACGGCTCTGACGCCCTCGTTAAAGATGCTTTAAATGCTTAAACATGTTCAGCAAACTGAGCTGTGCACTCAACCCTTTAATGCATTTTCGAGTTTAAATGACACATTTCTATTCTAATGTCAAATTAAATTCGTTTTTTAACAGAAATTTTTAGTTGTTAGTCTCTCAGTGCACAGACTTTAACTTGTAAAAGTGATAATATCGTGGTATTATATCAACAGATCATAATGATCTCTCACTAACCTGCGTGTTCTCATCTAGTGCTGTTTCATTACCGATTCATCTGCTGATTAGTTTTTGTCTATAAAATATCCGACCACAGAGACGGGAGCCCACTGTAGTTTCCATGAGTTCACCAAGCAAAAAAAAAAAAACTAGTTTACAATTAGGCAGAAGGAGGAAAAGCAACAGGTGGACACATCTAAGAAGAACTCTTGAAGCTGTGCCCTCATAAGACCAACACAAGTGTCCATCAGCAGAGATTTAAATGTCAGATTTCCCAACGCAAGGCTTCAGAGCTTGGTGTTTTCAGCCACTGTCAGCTAGAACTCTTTCTTGGTAGAGGAAAATGGGACAAGCTCGTTGGTACTGGCTCAGATGTGAACATTTGCACGTTTTTCTGAGGGTACGGGCAGCGAAGCAACACATTCTTCAAGGTATTGTATGCTTGTAGCCCTGACAAAGGCTTCCTGCCGAACATGCCGTCTTCTCTTTAAGCTGCCCAAAACACTGCAAGTGTTGCTGGACATTTTGTTTTCCAGTTAGTTTTGTCCTTGACTGTGCACCCGGACAATGGGTGACAACGTGCCAGAACTTTCTGCTGTATCTTGCCCTGCTGTCATGCCAGAAGCACTGCTCTCCAAACATCAGCTTCTCAGGAGCTAAAAGACTAGCGCTTTTTAGATGCAGGAGAATTTTCTCCTGCCCTCAAAGTAACGTTTACATTCCAGTTGATCAGAAACGTTCATAATCGCCGCATTTGGAGATGCATGTTTTCACTGGACCGGAGGGGGGAGAAAGTAGGGCAGTATGAGGACTGAGATGCAGTGGAGTAGAAGTACAAGGTTGCATAAAATGGAAATCCTCAGATAAAGTACAATACCTGACATTTCTGCTGGAGTAAAAGTACAGGCTGTATGCATCTAACCCGAACAGGTAGTGATCGAAGCTGTGAAAACTGAGAACCAGTACAGGGTTCAACAGGCCTCCAATGAAGTTAGGTTGTGTTGTGAAGCTTGAAGCAGAGGATGACATGAGGCTGAAGAAACATTTCATCAGTCAGAGAAGAGCAGGCGAACAGAAATGTGCAGCCGACCTGTTTCAGAGAAACTACAGTAAAATCACCTCTGTGGATTCCTGCAGGGTTCAGAGGTCACACAAAGTTCCCCCTCGGGGTTTCTCTGCTCTGACTGCCTCACGCTGACTCTGCCTGCTGTGGGTTTATATGTTAATGAAGGCTGTCTCTGCTGCCATGTGACTGGCTGTCTCCACTGGGGGGGGCTGTCCCACTGCCGGGGCGATAAGTTTGAAGACCAGATCTGAGTCAGACTTTTATTTCTGATGCTGAGGAGGAACAGGAAGCGAAGGTGACAAACTGAAAACCACCAGAAAGACAGAAAACAGCCAGAGAGAAGAGAAGCTGGAGGTCTGGACATGAACTGTCAGGTCAGTCTGTGTCTGTGCTCATCTGCTGGAGGCTGTTCACACACCGCTTTGTCCTTTACTTCTGCTGCAGCCTCCTTTTCTTACTGAGCAGAAGTTGTTTCTAGGATTCATGTGTTCTTTGTTACACATTGAGCTTGACTTTCATTTAACAATAGTTTCATTTTAAGTCATTAGTCGAGAAGTGTGACTGTAAAATACCAGAAGTGCTTGTCCATGTTCTCACTAGCTTGGAGTGTGGGATGCAACAGCAGGTCTGAAAATATGCAGACGTTGGGAAAAGACAAACGTCGGAAGCCTTCTCGTCACTGGGACGTACTGTCTCATACTGACATGATGTACAAATTAACCGTGCGGGGCTCAGAGCTGTGCCTGACAATCATCAGGTTTTTAAAGCAACAGTTTGTCTCCCCCTACAGTTTCTGAGTGTAACTGAGTTGTACCCAACTGTTGTAAATACTAGTTGCACTCTCCCCCTCCTCTTGGACAATGGTACATGTGCGTCTGTTTACAAGTTGAAGCTGTTAATTTCAATTCAGTTGTCAGTTTTATTTGTTTAGTGCCAAATCACAATGAAGGTCATCTCAGGTCACTTTACAAAGGAATGTCTGGGTCTTACTGTTATTATGAACCTGGGAGATGAACACTCAGACTAACGACAGGTTCTTTTAGTTTGACTGAAACACTGCTTGTATTTTCAGATCGTTTGAATGCGTAATGGGATGAGACATTGTTGGCAACATGACGTATGTACGTTTCTGATTAGCAGTCACCAGCCACATCGACCTGATCAGTGTTTGATTGTTGTGTCTTGTTGCTTTTCTTCTTTTGTCTCTCCTCTATCCACTCACCCCAACCTGTCGAGGCAGAAGGCCGCCCACCAAGAGCCGGGGTCTGTCAGAGGTTTCTTCCATTAAAAGGAGTTTTTCCTCCCACCTGTTGCCAAGTGCTGCTCGGGGGGATTTGTTGGGTTTTTCCTCTGTAGTAATAATAATAATAATGACAGTAAGTCTAGAATCATGTGAATGTGTGTAACGGAACAAAACGTTGGTGACATGTTATAGGCTGATATTGCACATAATGTACAGTGGGCAGTGAAATTTATTACAAGCTACAGCTGAGTGAGTTTGTTAGGCTGCAAACTTCACTTTGGTGCACGGTGACAAAGACAGACCAAAGTTTGTGGCCTGAGATGAATTTATTTATTCAGGGGATGGAGGAGGATGTTTTACACCTGGTAAAAAGTGCAAATCTCTGTGAGACGGGATGACATCGACAGGGTTAGTCTACGTAGTTACTTCATGAATCACATTGGTAGAGATGGACACGCTGTTGTGGTGGTAGATGTCTACAGATGACGTCAGGACAGCAGCTGTTACCAGCCAGTGGCCCTGACAGGGCTGTTTTAGCTCTGGCCAGGGAGTGAAAGCCAGTCTGATATTTACTCTGGTCGCTTCTCTCCCACTTCGTCCTGGCTCTGCTGTAGCTCCGGGGGTCTGTGTGGAGCACGTTGTTACATGCTTTGGGCAGGTCGTGTGCGCTTTAGTCCACGTCCTGGCGCACAGCTTGTTCACAATCGCAGTAGATGATTAGTAAGTACTCGGTACTCGGTGTGCAGCTGGACCACCAGCGTCCTCGCCGACAGAACCAGATGCAGCTACCTGCTAACAGAGCTAGCTCGGTCCGATAAGGAGTAACATACTCTCAACTCCGAAACCTCGGAACAAATTCAAAGCTGGCATTACTGGATAGACTGGCCACTTAGTCATAGTCTCTATGCTAAGCTAACCGGCTAACGTCTATTCGGAGTGATCCGGGTCTCTGCGGGCACGCCCTCCTAAGGGGACCGGTTTCTGCGGCAGTGCTGACGTCACCGCGCGAAGCCCGGCCCCCTCCCGGCGCTGGTCTGGGATTCTGGGGGTTTTCCTCAGCTCAGCCACTTCCAGGAAGTGACTGACAACAGAGCTGTGTGTGTGTGTGTGTGTGTGTGTCAAATAACACTCACGCAGAGAGACAGCAGCAGTGTTGATCTCGTCTGTTTTGTGAAAGTGAAACTGCTGCTGATTTTTATTAGTTTTCCTCCTTTTGTTCGCGTATCGGGGCTGTCAGCGTTGACAGGGGGTTAAAGTGAGTCAGGTCACACGCGCACGGAGACAGACGCTTCCTGTGTGTTTGTGTGTTTAAACTGCGTAAACTAGTTGACATCTGCTGACTGCTGGTGTGTGTTTGCTCTACAGGATGACTGAAGCTCAGTTCATCAACGTCTACGACAATGACGTGAGTCCCTCTTACCTTTTATTAGTTATTTTTACATGTATTAGTTTCTGATCGATCAGGTGATTGAATGTATTTTCTCCACTGTGACTGATCTAAGGGTCAGTGAGATTTTTAGCTTGTGAAACAAAGTAAACATCTGTGAACATATCAACAGAGAATCAGACATCGAATTAAGTTCATACATGTAAAATATAGAAAATATGACGTTTTTTTTTACTGAAGAATGGTTGAAAGGTGTTGGACAGGTATTCAGTCATGTGATCCTCAGGTTTTAAACATCTTTGTCTGGAACAGATCTTTGTTTTTCAGAATCAGTTTGCATTAGTTCATCACAGCAACACCGTGTTACACAAAGGAGAGGGTGGACAATCGAACAAAATTACCCAACACCCACATGAATGATTGTTGCATTAAACTGGTAGAAATTGGATTTAGTTGTGAAAAAGAGTAGTGATATAAAAAAAGCACAATATAAATAATTATACTATGTAATTAAGCATGTATGTCAGTAACTAAAGTAAAAACCTTGTTAGGCACTGTGCTGAACCTGAACGCTAAAGTAAAACTAAAGTCAGAGTTATAAAATAAAGACAGCCCAAAAATGAGGAGAGATACGAGGCAGTCAGATGACGTGATGTGGTGAAAGAAGGAAATGAAGTCCTACAGCGAACAGAACTCAGAGGGTCATGCACGATCACTTTGTATTTCAACAGCTTAAAACAGAGAAAGCTAATTAAACTGTGGCATGTGCAGTAGTCTTTAAGTTGAAGAAATAACCAGTAACGTGTGCAGAAGGGATCACTGTGATGTCTGATGTGGGGGGCGATTTCATGGAGGATCACTGTGCATCGGTAACTACTGCCAAACCTACAGTGTGCGGGCAGGCAGCTTTTAGAACATGAGCTCAAATAAGTGACAGTAAGATTTAGAGCTTGTAAGGTGCTGCTCAAGATCATTACAGCCTGAGGTCGTGTGCCAGCCTGTGGAAAAACTGCAGCAGAAATTCAAGTCTGTGAACACGTAGAAGAGAATTGTAAGAAAACAGCAGTCTGAGGTAAAACCAGTGCCCTGAGCCTGGCTGTTAAGGAGGGCCCCATACTGGTACTGGTAACTCGCTGTGTCCCTGTGTGGCCTCTTTTCTATTATTGCTTGTGTTTACCGGCATCAGGCTCACGATCGGTTTGCTGGGGCACGGACTGAAGTGCCGACGCCACTGGCCGACAGTGAGACAGATTAACTGGGTATTACAGAACAGTGTCTTTGCTGTGGCCCAGTTTACACAGTGTGAAACCAAAAAAGCTGAACTTGTAGATTTGGCCTGAGCCTCTCACACAGACAGAAAACATCTGAATCAAGTCAGTTCAACACAGCGGTGGATGCCTTCAGTCTCAGTCCATTTCAGCATTTAAACTCTGGCTCTGCAGGGTTAGTGATGAGGAGTAACAGTGATTTTGCATGTGCAGCACCAGTATCAGCTTCAGTTTCTTGATTCGAACATAAACTCAGACTCGAGTCTGATATTTTTCTTTGTGTATGAAATCATCGGTGCATGTGTTCTTTAAACAGGACTCCAGCTCTTCTACATGTTCATAAACTCCCATTTCTCATGCACAGGATGCCCACAGCTCTGTAGTGCGAGACACAGCCGGAGGTGGTGAACCTTATCTTTTGTTTAATCAGATAGGAGTGGAGACCTGCCTGTAGCAGCAACAGCTAACGAACCCGAGAAGGTGAAAACAGAGGAGTTGTGTTTAAAAGAGTCTTGCGTTCAGCTCAAGGCAACAGATTCCCTTAATTAAAAATCCTTTGAAACCACATTTAAATGAACGTCACATCACAAGCTCTGAATCTTTTTGACCTTTGCTTCAGCCCAGTTTCCTTTTCCATCACAGATAATTACAGTCTTGTATGCAGATGCAAAAATCTACTAAGAAAAAAAGTGTACATGTGACTAATAGTGTGAAAAGGGCTGCAGCTGCTATTTTTATTGTCAGATGTTAAACACATCCACTGGTCCACAGCCAAAGGCATTAAGGTTTACATAGGAAGAGATGCGGGAGCAGGTCATGTCTGGAGGTTTATACTGGAGTGGTTCTTCATCAGACGGACCGATCCATTCATCACTGCGATACCTGACACCTGAGATGTGACATTAATAGTCATTCACCACCAGGAAGCTGTTCTTTCATGGCTCTGTAGGAAATCGTCAGTACACCGGCTCATTGATCAACTGGATTAATGTTCTTCAGGTCCACAAACTGAAAGGTTCTGTTCCAGGTCTAAGTATTAAAAATGTCTTCTCGGTTCTTCTTCTTCAGCTGCAGCTGAACTTGATGCCTTACGACTACATTCCTCCAGTGGACATCAAGACGGAGCCCTACATACCAGAAACAGGTAGGCCGATGGGTGGCATCGCAGCCATGTCACCGGTACTCAGGTGGTGAGAACTGGACTGCAACACAAGCGCTCTGTAGCAAAGGCTCCCCCACCACTCATCCATCTGCAGTATTTGTCACTAGTTGTTCTACTGGACCAAAGCTGACATGGGTGGCGGTTCACTCTGAAGCTTCTTTGTCTTTTTACTTTATCCTTAGTGGTCTTTTACATGGGCAGCAACACAGAAATACAGTGTTTCAGTGGCAGATGATAAATCAGCTCCTGTTTGTACCTGGAAACAGGAACCTGATGAACCACGAGGACCTGGACATAGTTGCTTGCTCCTGTAACTGAGCACTAAGACACTTTAAAACCTCCTGCCAGTACTGCAAGTCTGCAAAACTCATGAACTTATCTGTACAGTTTTTCTAGAACGTGTTTTGGACCTTTCCAAACCAAACCGTGTCCTGGTAGCTGGAACCTTTGTGTGGTATTTTGGAGGATAGTTAGGGGTTCACAGCCGGACTCGACCCACAGACGTTGAAGTTCCAGGTCGCTGTCTGAACCCCTGAACGACGGGGGCGCCCTGATACGTCCTTGACGTAACTTCTCAACAACCTTTTATTCATATCTGGAAACAAGAACTTAGACATTTTACACCCTTTTACGAGAACAAGACAAATGAGACCATTGTTTCCTAGGACCCGTCAGCAAAGCCCAGCGTAAATGTTCTGATATTCCTGTTACAAGAAACAGAGAGCTCGTCTGTCCACAGTGTGAATGAGCAGCACCTGGAAGCCACTGCTGCTGTTCCAACTCTTACTCACGGGGAAACCACCTCCTTCTACCTTTGACTACACGTAAAAAGTCCTATGGCTGCAGGAAGAGTGAAAGTGGCCGGGTCGGCGGGAAGGGGGAAATTGGCCGGTGACGTTTAGAAACCATCAGTGGCTGTGGCTGCTGAATCTTAGGCATGTGTAGCAACAGTTTCTGTGCAGGTTACTAACTAAACTCTGACTTGTGTTTCAGCTCATGGTCCCTACATTCAAATCATTGAGGAGCCCAAACAGGTGAGACCTGATGTTTACACTGTCAGCACCGAGTTTGCATCGTTACAGTACAAACAGGTTTTGGGCTAAAAGCAACACAATCAGTAGATATTCCTGTGAAGTTGTGGGGAAGAAGCAGTTGTTTAGAAAAATTGAGTGCATTTATTGTTAATTTTCATGTCCCAGACTGTAATGTACCATCCAGGATGAGCTGTGGCGGTTGTGTTGTAAAGGTGTTTGTGGCATGAAAGCAAACCCTGTCTCCCTGGAGCTATTTTAGAAAGAGAGGGCCCGTTTGTCTCAGCGGTGATTCCCCGCTGCAGGCTGATCCACATGTTACTGTAACTGTCACTCCTGTGATCCAGGGTTTTCCCATCAGTCATATCGAACAGGAAGTCAGGGAGTTTCTGCTGTCACATGACCCCAGTGACGTCCTTGGCATGTAAATCAGTTCTGGTCTGAAGGGACATGAAGAACCAGGTTTATGCAATCACTAGAGGTACATACACAAACTGTGGGTGTGTTGTGTTACCCTGAGGACAAAACACAGGCTGACGGTGTTAGCAGGGACCGACAGAGGAAGATGCAACCGCAGTCAACACTGAACACGGGCAGTAGGTTCACATTGGCAGAAGAAAAAGAAAGCTCCATTAAAACAGTTCAAGTCTTCAGGTGTCCTGTTCTGTCTGACAGGCTCCTGGAGATCGAAGGTGTTAAACAGAGGAACGAAGCTGTAGCCAAACAACGGGCAGGGTTCTTGACTGACTGATCGATTATTGTTGCTGATGGTCGGTCAAAAGTAGAAAATGTAGGTCTCTGAATTACAGTCCACACAGAGAAGAAGCATAACAATTCATTTACAACAATATGTGAGACATGAAATGATATGAATATGACTGTGAGAAGCTCAGGATGGCGTCTCAGGCCAGCGTGAGCCAGCGATGCGGCTCAGCCTGTAGGAGAAACAGAATCTGCAGCCAGGATCATTTATAATGGATCCTCAAAATAAAAACATTTGTGTGAGGTGTTGTCGACTGCACAGTGAACAGTGTGTCTGTCTTCCCAGAGGGGCTTTCGTTTCCGTTATGAGTGTGAGGGTCCATCCCACGGCGGGCTCCCGGGGGCCTCCAGTGAGAAGAACCGGAGGACCTACCCGACTGTGAAGGTGGGTAATGCGAACAGCAGCGTGTCGACAACCTCATCCCATTGAATAAATGTTTTAAAGGAATGTACACGATGGCGGATGTCCAGTCGAACTCTCTCTGATGGGCTGTTCCTTCTCTGACCAGTCATGTGATCAGGAAGGCATCGCCTGTTTATTTATAAACATTGGTCTAAGAACTAATCAAGTCAAAGATTCATTTACTTTGTTTTTACGTCATAAAATAATGAACGGACAGTATTTTTGTTTTATGAAATATTTTTGAATGTAAACTAGAAAATATGGTAAAATCTGTTTGTTTTTAATTTTTTATATAATAAAATTTGCACCATATAACAAACTTGTTCTTTATAAAATGTTTAAATAGAAAAACAGAAAGCTAAAAAAACCAGACTCACTGCTGCTGTACATGATGTGAACCTGGTCTCTGTCTCAGATCAGTAACTACGTGGGCCACGCCCGGGTGGAGGTGCAGCTGGTGACCCACAACGATCCTCCTCGTGTCCACGCCCACAGTCTGGTGGGACGTCACTGCACCGAGAAGGGCACCTGCACGCTCGATGTCGGCCCCAACGACCTGACCGCCTCGTCAGTATCCAATCCTATCGATGCATGCTATGTGTTGACTGTGTAACAGGGACAGCTGCGTTAAATGTGCATTGGTTTTACCAGGTAGTTTTAATCTGTAGAGGGCCACAGGCAACAGACAACCCGCCACTCTAAATAACACAAAACACAACACAACATCTAAAAACAATAGAATAAAGAAAAACACCAGCCCAAAACAAACTCCTCAGCCGTTTCCGACCTGAACCTTAAAGGATGCAGCCAGTGAGTTTGTCTGCCTGTCATTCCCCACCAACCCCGTCCAGAGACCAGCAGCCCCAGTAAACATGGTGTCCTCACTGTGATGTGTGTGAGTCCAGACCCTGGTCCAGCTCATCGTTCTGGGCCGTAGACCTCCACTGTTGTCCACTAGCCATTAACCCCCCCAGTGAGCCACAACGCTGCATGGGGGGGCAGGTTTCCTCCTCAGGGAACACGGCAGGCCATCTGTCTCCATCACACTGCTCCGCCAGCTTCTCGCTGTGCAGAACGTGTTGGAGCCAACTCTCTCTGGATGTTTGTGCCAAACAACAGAAACCTACAAAATCAGCAGCTGCATCCTTTAACGCTCTGTGACTGCCCTTCTGGATGTCCTTCGACCACGTTTTCAGTCTAAATCTAAAGTTTTTAGGAGGACTGACCTCCGTACACATTGTGAAAATGCAACAGCGCCCTCTGGAGGAGGCTGAGTGCTACTGTCACAAATCTGTCAAAGGTTGTGAATGGCCTTGTGCAATAATCCTACATTAAGCAAACATGTTTAAATGTCAGCAGATTGATCATTACTGCAGCATTGTTAAAAAGAGCAGAGTTGGGTTTTGCTGTTGTATTCATGTATGAGTTGTGTGACACCAGGTTGTAGTACAGTAGGAAACGTGGCACTTTCACTGAGCAGTCTGTACATCTTCGTCCATGGACATCCAAAATAAGCAAGACTACACTTAACCGCTTGTGATACTTGGCGCAACAGAACCCACTGGAAATCCTCAGATACACAGCAAAAAGTGAGGGGAGTCAGGGAGGGTTTCCTTCCTCATCAGCTGCTGCGTTTCTGATGAGCAGCGGGATGACGGAGGAAAAACCCCAAAGAGGAAGTCAGACGTTCCTCTTTCAACCTCCAGTAAACACTAATCTTTTCTATCGGGTGAAAACCAAACAAAAGAACCCATGGAGAAGGGAGTTCACAGCAGTGGAATTAAAAGCTCAGTCTGTAAATGCAGAAGGCTGCAACAACAAATATGAAACTAAATCAGATGCATCAACAAAGTGAGTCAGCAGCGAGCAGGCTGACCTAACTGCTAAAACTATGAAACGTGAGAAGGAACAGACAAGAGTTTACAGTAAAGTACACTGGACAGACTGAACCTAATAACTGTTAAAGAATTTGTAAATAAATAGTTCATTAAAAACTTTAAGTAGAGGAGAATGTTTGAGTAAATATTTAATAATGAAAACTAGAAAATGTGCTGATAAAGCAAACAAGTTGAGGATGTGAACAACATATCGAGTCAAGGACTTGTTTTTAATAACGTACATTTAAATGTGTAAATAATTACAAAAACTATACAGGCTTTTAAAAATAATATTTTTGAATCGAGAACAAATATATATGTGAGCAACTAAGGAACAATGAAGCAGAACTGCGTATTTGTGCACAAATATGTGGCTCAAACAATGTGTAATTCTTGTTTATATGTTATCGATGTAATCGGTGTAAATGTCAGTAACAAAATAGTCTGATGATGTCACTTCCTGCAGGTTCAGTAACCTGGGGATCCTGCACGTGACCAAGAAAGGTGTTGTCGATATTCTCTGCAGACGACTGGCTGAGGAGAAGAAGAGGCAGAAAGGACCTCACACCAACCTGATGGGTGAGAACACCTGAGATCACTGAAGACAAATTTCCCTTTGTCTCCCAGGACAGTAGCACAGACCACAGCGTATCCCTCCACCGCAGCTCGGGGGAGAATGACTATCCTGGGACACGGAGGGAAATTTGCCTTGGATCAACTGTAGCTTTGGAATTAGCTTGGTGCAACAGCTGAAGCCTCATTTGATTCTCACTTGTGCATATGGGTCCATCAATATTGTTTTAAAACCCACTAAAATCCTGAACCGGTCCCTTAAAACAAAAGAACCCAAACTCTCATTTTAATAGTTTGTAAAGTCACAATCGGCACCAGAAGCTGCATGTGAAATACTGGAAGCTTTCATCAGAAGACAGAGTCAGGCGTGAAGTCCAACAGGTTTGCGGCTGTGTGACGAGGCTTCGCGTGTCTGCTGTGTGTCGCCCTTTAGACGCAGAGCTGAGCGCTTGTCTGAAGGAGGCCAAGGAGCTGGGCAAGGTGATGGACCTGAACATCGTCAGGCTGAAGTTCACCGCCTACCTGCAGGACAGCAACGGAGGCTTCACCCGAGCACTGAAACCGGTCATCTCCAACCCCATCTACGACAGCAGTGAGTGCACACGCCCTCGCGTCACACGAAGCTTCTCAACACTCTGGCTCAAATCCCTGCTTTTACTATGACTGTGGGTGCAAGTTGGAGTAAAATACAGAGGTCTCAAGGCTTTTTGGTCTTTGTGACTGAGCTAATGACTTTCTGAAACCAGAAAGAGCCACAACATCCAAAGACCAGAATCTCCCACAGAACGCTCAGAAAACTCTAAATTAATTTGCTGAGTGAGCAGAAACCTGCGCAACACGACTGCGCAAGCCATTGTCTCCTCACCTGATTGGCTGTTCCTTAAAGCAGCCACCACCTGTGCACATTTCCAATCATCATCAGTCTGGTTTAATGCGAGGAGGTTCAGGACTTGGTCCGGTCTCAGCTGAACCACGCTGAAGGATTCTTAATCTCTGACTGTCGGTAACCCTGATTTATTTTTTCTTTCACCTGCAGAGTCACCGAACGCCTCCAACCTGAAAATCTCTCGGATGGATAAGACGTGCGGCTCGGTGCTCGGAGGAGATGAGATCTTCCTTCTGTGTGACAAAGTTCAGAAAGGTGAGAACGTCATCACTGCGTCCTCTGGTAGTTTGGGAAGGTCTCTTTTAGAATGCATGGGTGGTTTGGAGCTGTGCTCTCTTTTCGTGGATCTGGGTCCTGAAACACCGCCAGTGATGTGACACAGTGATTTTGTTTTATAATGAAGAGGTTCCAGCTGTGCACACCTGTAAGATGTGACCTAACGCAGGTTGTCCTAACTCTTGTTGGGATTCACACCGTGTTACCGCTGCTGTCACTAGCTGTATTTGTCTTTCTTGTAATTATTGTTGTATTAAACTGGATAAATCTCCCATCATGCCTCTGTGCTGCACATTACAGATGACATTGAGATCCGTTTTTATGAGGAGGATGACGAGGGAGGCTGGGAGGCGTTTGGCGACTTCTCACCCACCGACGTTCACAAACAGGTGCAGTTGAAAACCACAACAAGCAGCTGAACGGGGAATTCCTCCACTGTGCTGCACACAGCGACACACTAGATCACCACCCCATCGTGCTCATGTTCATCACAGCTTGCAGGATTGTTTTGTCCCATACAGCTTCACACAGACAAAACGATGCAAACACAGCATCTGCATCGCTGACAGCAGTGCCTCCAGAGCTGCAATGAAAGTGACATGTTTTCTGTCTGCCAGTCAAAACACTGGATTCAGATTGTTGTTGCTGTGCATCAGCTCAAACTCATGAAACCTCCTGTTTGTGTTTGTAATTCAAGTGTAAGGACTTTTACAAGTACTGCGACTATGAGTCAGAAATGATCTCATCAGACGTCTCCAACACTCCAACAGGCCACTGGCCAAAGTCTGTGCATGGTTTTGCATATTTAAAAAAACAAAATCAAGTTTCACAGTTCATTCATATATTTCACTGCTCACTTTACAACACATGCCATAACATGAGAGCAAGAATTAGAAATGTGAGCATGCAAATGACTTAATCACAGTGTAATCCACCTTCGGCTTGAGTTGAAAGACTGAAAGTCAGTTACTGTCCATGGAAGTTGGAAGTTTGACAAAATGAACTAAAGGTTCATTCCATAGATTCTTCTGGAGCTTTCAGCTGCAAGTTGAATACGCAGGTCACATAGTAACAATCGGCGAACATCAGACATGGTTAGAACTGAAGATAATTTAGGGCGATGGGGCTGAGAAGACTAATATCTGTTATCTAAGATGAACCCTGGTCAGTAGAACGGGTTTACAATGTTCAGTCCCAGGTTTACGCATGTCAGACTGTCACAGTTTCTTCTCTCCTCAGTATGCCATCGTGTTCAAAACGCCACCCTATCACAGCACAGAGATCGAGCGACCGGTCACAGTCTTCCTGCAGCTCAAGAGGAAGAAGGCTGGCGATAGCAGCGACCCAAAACAGTTCACCTACATACCACAGGTCCAAGGTCAGCCTCCACCCTGGAAACAACACGGCATTAACACATGGAACAAACAGTTTGCTGCTTGTAAATCCCCGGGATGACTGACAGGAGGATGTTTGTGGCTCAAGTTCACAGATTTGGGGTTCCCCTCAGTGGGAAAGGTTGCATGCACCGACTTTCAGTCCTCACCTACCTACTCACTCACATGCTTGTTATGCAGCAGGATCAAAAAAGTTCAGGCGAAGACAATAACACGTTTTCCGTCTCAAACAGCTTTGCGTCTTCCCACTTCTTTTCTACCTTTTCTTTGTTTCCCCTCCGCATTTCATCATCTTGTCATCTTTTGCTCTTGCTCAGACAAAGAGGAAGTGCTGAGGAAGAAACAGAAGCCACTGCCTCACTATGAACCCTGGAGAGGAGGAAGGGGAGGAGGAGCTGGGGGATTTGGAGGAGGAGGAGGAGGAGGAGGAGGTAATGATGGTTTACAGTGTATGAAAGCTTTAGCAGTGGGGATGCAGCGCAGAGTGCTGTGTACAGGAACTGGTGTTCATCGCTGGTGGCGATGAACACAGTCACATGGAAGCACATTCTAGTGTTTTGTATAATTCTGTTCCAAAAGACTGTTAATGTCCAGTGAGACTCGTTCGTCTTCAAACGCGTCACTGCCCGACACCCCAGAAAGGGGGGGGGGGGGGGGACCTTGACCCTTTTGCATAATCTCAAAAATCAACTTTCCTTCACAGGTCCACAGGTTGGTGCTGCTTAAATCTACATAAACAGGTGGATTATCTGAAATATGCATCGTGGCAAAGATGGAAGGGAGGAAAGGTTGTTTTGGTTTTCACAAGACAGGAAAGATACATGTGTGTGATAACACATGGGATAAACAGCAGGTCGAACCCGTTGGTTGGGTGAACTGCAGACGTCAGACTCGTTATTAGAAAGTTGCTTTAGCTGTTGTGTATCAACTGAAAATGATTTGCCCGTTTTGAAATGTTTCTGCTGCCTGGGATCACGTGTTAACTGCCTGATCTCATGCTCGATCAGTGAGGAATCATTCTTTGATCGTTAGATATTACAGGCAAAACCTACTGGAGGAACGTATTTGAGAAAAACCAACTTCCATTCATCTGCAGGGTTCCAGTTCAACCAGCATATGAATGGAGCCGGAGGAGGAACAGGAGGAGGTTTCTTCACCGGAGGCTTCACAGGCTTCGGAGGAGGAGGAGGGACTCAGATGCCAGGCTCCACCCCTCAAACAGATGTTAGCCAGCAGCAGACAGACAGACCGACTAGAGGACAGACTGGATCACCACTACAACAGCAGCTCTTTCAGATCGGTAGGACTCAAAAACCAAACCGATGTTCTGGAAGTTCACGTTCTCTTTGCCGATGATGTGATGGTGTTTGTTTACAACGTCATTAAACTCCTGCGTTTCCAGCTGCAGCCCTGCACAACAGAGCCTCTCACAGCGCCAAGCAGACCACCGCTGCCCTGCTGCAGTACTGCAGCACCGGCGATGCCCGGGTCCTTCTGGCCATCCAGAGACACCTTTGTGGGGTCCAGGACAGCAACGGAGACACGTGAGTAACTGTCGTCACTTTGTTCTCCATGAAACCGGCTAATGTAGCGCACAGCCATCCAGAGACACACCTGCTCGAATCTGAATTAAACTCGCCTTTTCAGTTTAGTGAAAAATGTGTCTGGTGGTGTGGATTTGGTTTTCTCACAGACCTTTACACCTGGCCATCATCCATCAGCAGACAGGTGTGATCCAGCAGCTGATCCACACGCTGCTCAGCAGCCAGCAGCAAAACATCCTCAACACAGCCAACCACCTCCAACAGGTACCTGCCTCTTACCCTGACCTTATCTACTAACCCAGATCACCTTGCTTATGATCTCCAGAAGTCAGCTAACTCATCTAATAATAAGATCAGCTGTCTCCTCACCAACCCAAATGAACACAGCTAATTAACAGGAAGCCAACACCTGGCTAACTTGTCTCTCTGTATGATAACCTACCGTAGCTAATCCAAGTCATCTCAACAGTTGACTACCCCCCGACACGTAGCCAGTTTCATGCTAACCCAGCTGACCCTCGTCAGTACAATGTTCTGTCCTAGTTAATTCAGATTAACACAACTCGCCACCTATGGTAGGTAGCTAATTAACTAACCCATCTAAGTCACCACAATAGAAACAACTACCTCTGACAGGTAACTACACACAGCTGTTTCCTTGACCAATGTACCACAAGTCATTGGTAACTAACCTACCTTGTACAGAACCAACCATCACCTGACCACTAACTCCTCCCCCTCTTTTGGGCGATACAGACTCCTCTCCACCTGGCGGTCATCACCCGACAGGCAAAGGTGGTGGAGGTGTTGGTGAGGGCAGGAGCCGACCCCAGTCTGCTGGACAAAGATGGTCGCAGCCCCCTCCACCTGGCAGCACTGGCCGGAGACAATGCCACACTCCGCCCCCTGCTGGCTCACCTGGGAGAACACCACGCCCACCTGGTCAACACGCCCGACTACCACGGTGAGAGAACGACCCCCTAAAATCGCAGTTACTACATGCCTTCTTCATTAGCCTGTTAATAATAATGGACCTCGTTAGCATCACGGTTTCTCTAAACACTTGAGGTCAATGAGTTAATTTTCATATTAATCATAAAACCTTTGACATTAAGCTTCTGTCACCACGGAGCCTTGCTGGTTCCTCAGATCAACGTTCGTAAAATGTGTATTCGATACCGTGAGAGAGAATCCAGTTACTGATCAACACTCACCGGCCACTTTATTTGGTACGCCTGTACAATGCAACACCTCTGCCTTAACATCTGTCTCTATAGTTTTGTCCTCCCCAGCTACATACATGAGAGGGTCAGAATATTAGGAACACATCTGAATATAATGTAGCCCAGTACAGCACCACCTTTAACTGTGGCCTCAATAATAAACGTGGAATTGCGTTTATACATTTGACAGTTTCACCAAAACCTGAGACATTCTGAGCTTCATAACCACAGATGTTAAGGTGGAAGTGTTGCATTGAAGTGTAGGTGTACCTAATAAACTGGCTGAGTGTAGAGCTGCAGCAGAAAATGAACTGATAGTTTAATAGTTTTATTCAAATATTTCCTTAAATGTCAGGATCTTATGCTTTTTTGTCCCACATGACAAAATATATCTGGGTTTTGGACCAAAAAAGAGACACTTATAGATTTGATCATGTTCTGACATTTTACAGACAAACCCATTCACTGAGTTAGAGTAAAAAAAATCTGGAGCCATTCTCACAGGTTTGAATCTAAAATAGGAAATAAAAAGTGTTGAAACTTCTTCTGTCAGTCCAGCTGCACAGTTTGTGACGAGCTGGAAAACCCCGGATGGCTGATTAGGGATCTGTCACAGAACAAACCAGTCAAACCTGAACATGGACAGAAATTAGGTCTAAATCTACTTATGATCAAATAACTGCTCCAGGACCAGCGTGCCCCTCACATGGTACATCGGCTGCTTCTCTGCCTCAGCAGACGAGCACAGCTGCTGCAGTCTGCACCTACAGACAGCGGTGGAAGACGTACTCGGGTCCTCTGCTGAAGTCAAAGTAGCAGTACAACAGTGTAAACATACTGTTAAATAAAGTAAAACTTCAAACTGTTATTAGCATCAAAGTACTAAAAGTACTCCTTATGCAGAATGGCACATTCCTGTATATCGTGGTGTTGTACTATAATGACTGATGCATTACTGTGCACGTCGTATTTAGATCAGATCAATGCGGTCTTATCCTGTATCTTTTGTGTTAATTTGGTTCTGAAAAGTAACTAGTAACTGAAGTTAAAATGTAGTGAAGTCAAAGTATGAAGTAAGAGAAAATGAAAATACTCAGCTAAACTAGATTCCTCAAGTAAAGTTACTTAGTTTCCACCGTCTACAGAGATATTAACACGGGCTACGGCCACTGTTGTTTCACGAGGCCACTTCAGGCCAAACAGTTAATGTTTCACGTGTGTGTGTGTGTGTGTGCGCGTCAGGACTCCACCCTCTGCACCTGGCGGTGAGGAGGGACGGCGAGCGCTGCCTCCGTCAGCTGGTGGAGGCTGGAGCCAAGATCAACGCACCTGAGCAGAAGAGTGGGAACACTGCCCTCCACCTGGCTGTCAGAGAAGACCTGTTCAAGGTGGCCTGCATGCTCATCACAGAGGTAACACACACACACACACAGTTTGTTTCGTAGTCCATAGGGACTTTACATTGACTTACATTCATTTCCTGTAGACTAACCTTAACCAGAACCACTACTTGCCTAACCCTGACCCTAACCTTAACCTAACCCTAAACCATGTTGCCACCCTAAAATTCAATTTCCTGCCCATGGGGACCTCAACTTAGGTCCCCACCATGAAATGGGTCCTCATGAGTTGGTATGGAGTCAGGAAGAAGTCCCCACATAGCAGGAAAAACACGTCCACACACACACACACACACAGGTGTGCTGCTGAAATGTCAGCAGGTGACCAACTGCAGGACTGTCGGGTCAGGCCAACTTGGTCTGGCACAGGGGTTCCTAATAAACTGACCACTGGGTGTACGTTGTTTACTCCACCAGCTTTAATGGTTTCTGAAATAGGACCTTGTTGTAATCGATGCTGCTCACGTTAATGTCAGTAGTGATTACCACAGTGCACCAGTGAAACGTGAACACGACTTCAGTGTTTTCTGGTGAGAGCAGATCTAACGTACGTGACTGTTCGCCTCAAGTCAGAGATTTCTTGTTGCATGTGGCTCATAGCTGGGATCCAGTCTGCTCTAATGATTCCTTGGTTAGTAAGCGGCTCTCTGTTTGTGCTGTGCAGCTGAAGGCTGACGTGAACACCTGCACGTTTGGAGGAAACACACCGCTCCACCTGGCTGCCAGTCTGGGCTCCCCGACGTTCTGCTCCATGCTCGTTGCAGCAGGTAAGACACTGAAACACCGAGTGAGCACTGAGCTCGTTGTACTGCTGTTCAGTCTGAGGCGCCAGCCTTCCGCTCGTTTAGTCAGGGAGAGAACCTTGGTCAACATGGAATGAACGTGTTCTCAACACGTTCCTCTGCAGACTGAACAAGAAATGTTTGTACTCATCTAGTTCTGGCCTCCATCGGAGGCCGGTCGAGCTCCAGCAGCAGCCACCCGCCACAAACATCCTGTGGGTGGGCGCCTGTAGCCGTGGCTGGCTGTTAGGAGCTGGGGGCTGGGTGATCAAACACCACATGGCGGGACGTGCAGTGTGGCCTGAGCACATTAGGCTTTAGTACAGGTCAGCACTGAGCAGGTAACAGTAGTGTTACTGTGTCGAACCCACGAGACTAGTACTCGCCTACTAAATGAGCAACCTGTATGTAGCCAGGTGCCGACCTAATGCAAAGTCTCTAGTCTGCAGAGGCCACACTGCACCATCCCACCGTCGGGCGTTTATTCACCCAGCTGTGGCTGCGGCTGCTGGCGGAGCTCAGGCTCTCTCTCAGAAACGGACCGACATGTCTCATCACGTCGGTGCTGATGCAGGGAGAAAGTTGCGACCGGCCTTTAAAAGCGTGAAACAGAAAAGCCTTTTGTGACCCAGCGAACACGTCTCTGCATCTGTAATTAGCTGATGGTGAAGCAGGAGGAGAGCGGAGCGTTTAAAACCCCAGCTGAGCGACTAAACCTGTGTTTCAGGTGCTGACAAGAACATAGAGAACGATGAGCCGCTCTTCTTCAGCTCCTCTTCAGATGAAGAGCAGGACGGAGATGAGCCAGTGAGAGAGGAGGAGGCTGTCACCCCCTCCCAGGACGTCAACCCTCGCAAGAGACGTGCAGGACATACCCCTCTGGACCTCGCCAAATGCCAAAAGGTAACGAGTTCCACCTTGGTTTTAGTGTTTCCACAGAAAACACCTGAACCAGACTCCTCAACAATCAGTGTTTGAGAATAACCGTTGTTTTCTGACCAGTCTGATGCTTTTTCCTAAAACATCTTGAGAAAACTCCCCTCGTCTCCTCAGGTGAGGAACCTGTTGAACTCCAGGCAGAGTCCGAAGTCGAGCCGTCACAGCAGCAAGAAGATGAAGCCGAGCAGCAGTGAAGGTTCGTGTGTCCTCGTTCTGCAGCTGAGGCAGACACAAACTTGATGTGCACAGTGTGGAGGTCAGAGGTCAACAGCCAAGTATCACAGCGCAATGAGTTAAACTTCCTCTGACATGAATTTAAAGCCACAGACAGTTCAGAGTGAAGCCAAGTAGAAAGGAAACGCTGAAGCCCAGCCTGGTTTTCATGTTTAGAGGATAAGGCCAGTGATTGTGTCGGTTTGTGTCCCAGCATGTTCTGGGCAGCGTGCACGCAGCAGAGACCAACGGCTGTGCACAGTGACGCCCTTTGCTGGAAACCTGCCCCCAGTGCAGCTGGTCTCACTGGGGGGTTTAACAGTAGACACGGTGGTGTGTGAGAGTCCAGGGTCTGGACTCGCATCACGGTGAGGACACCATGCTCACTGATGCTGCTGGTCTCTGGACGTTGGTTGTGTGCAGGAACACAAATGCACAGAATCACTGGCTGTGTCCTTCGAGTCACATATTTAGCAGCAGACTTGTGATCAGTCTGGTGAGCAGAGACATCTGGCTGAGTTCTACTGTCCAAACCCACTGTGTGGACATTGCAGAGGCGGAGGGCTCGGGACTGGACGAGGACACTCTGACGCGGCTGGTGGAGGTGCTGAGTGTCGGAGACGTCCCCTGGAGGAAGCTGGCAGAGAAGTTGGGTATGATGACGCTGACTCACCTGTACCAGGACAGCGCTACGCCCTGCCACCACCTGCTGCAGTACTACAAGGTAACCAATCCACAGAGAGCGTGACGTGAAAACAGCTGCAGCATCTGGGCATGTAGTGATAACAGCTGTCCGCAGCTGTAAAACGGGTGGAAACTAACTAGTGCATTTAATACTAATACTGCAGTTTACTATTATTATTATTATTATGATACTGTGTCCATCACTTTAATGCTGCAGCTGCTAAAGGTGGAGCTGATGGTAACTACCTTATATACTTATACTGGGAAGTACTTTCCATCCTGCTGGGTAGCTGGTGGATTTCCTACTGGGATCAATAGAGTCTGATGGTTCTACTGGGTTTGGTTTGATTCATCTGATTCTGGACCTGAAGGTATCAGGTACATGTAGTGTAGTAAAAAGTACACGGTTTGTCTCTGACATGGAGTCACAGGATGAAGCAGCAGGACGTGGAAATACTCAAGTGAAGTACATAAAGTACAATACTTACCTATGAACGTGAACTGTGTGTGCAGCTGGGTGGAGGACCGGTCGAAGGTCTGGTCGAGGCGCTCCAGTCTCTGGGTCTGTCGGAGGGAGTGCGACTGCTGAGGAACACCGAGCGGCAGGACGACAAACACAGCACAGGTAACACGCACACACACAAGGGTTTAGTCGTGGTAAACACTAAGCTCAAGTTGTTGAACCGTCATCACCCAACAAAGTGCATTTAGCTTCAGCATAAACTCAGCTGCGAGTCCGACTTCTTCTCTTAACTACGGCCACAGCTGCTGGTAGGAGGACAGCTGGACACAGCTGCAGCCTGAGTGTTGTCCCAGAGCAGCTGGTGTGGACACTGCTCAGCCATAAGCCACTGGCAGTGTCCACGCTTTACAGCTTTAAATACCTGTTTGACAGGTAACACGTCGCATCAGACAGCATCTGCAGCTCGTTTCTGCCACATAGAAATAAAGTGACGTTACCAAAAAATAAAACATGTTCTCACCTTGTGTGTGTGTTTCTGTCTGATCAGATGCCACGGTCGACAGCGGCTTCGGCAGGCAGCCCATGGGAGGAGGAGAGCCGC